AAATGTATAAATTGCTCATGGATAAAATGTGAGTTATTAAAAAAGAGGCATGTCGCCTCCCATACATACTAAAGCTTTCTTAATGCATTCTCTGGAAGGATAGAAAATCTCTGGAAGTATTTTAAATTTGTTATGGAGATTTATTTTATATGTAAGTGTCGTACTGACAGAAAAAATTTCGTTTAATGGAAAAGGGAGAGCCGACTTCGGCCTTATAATCTAAAGCTCTCATGACGCATACATACCTCTTGAGGCATTTAGCTACAGTACTGAGAAGGGGTATTTTATCAAGGACAAGTTACTAAATTTGAGTTGGAAATATTAGAACCCGCCATGGCACCTCTTAGAAGGCGGCGTATACCTGGCAGTGTTGCCGCGACGTCACGAAAATATGTATTGTAGAAAAACACAAAATGGATCAAATGTATCTCAAAAATTTTTTTTAGGTATCTAAGTATCAAGTTAGAAAATATTGTTAAAAAATGCTTTTCTTCTATTGTCAATAAACGAAAAATCATGTAATTCACATTCATATACATACATGTGGATGTACATGAAGGAAAATATCTTACAATCTATCAAAATAGAGATTATTTAGGAAATTCACAAGGTGTTGTATGCTGTCGTATTATTGCATGTCGTAATTTAAGGGATTCGGCAGCTACCATAAAAGTCGGAATATGAAATCTCACACCGTTAAAAAATATTTGGTTGTGGTTTCAAGTCCTCTAAACATTTATTTAGCTTTTACAAGCTTCGCGACATACGACAATACGACACTTATGATACCTTGTGAACTCCCCAATTGTTTTTAATCTTGCATAAAGACGAACAAAAATATTATGTATAGATTTTACAGAAACTCGAATACAAATATATGTACTTAAAACTATTAGCTGTCGATCATTTACGGTAATTATCAAATAATGTGATACACTCCACGTTAAACTCGTTGCAAATTATTTCAGAAAGCTGAAACTACCTTCAACAACTTTTAACGAAAGTCTATTTTTCTTTACATATTGGATCAAATTTAAATCTAAAAATATACGGTCAGCAGCCACAGAGTCTACCTTATTAGTGTACATCACAGTATACAGTAAAGTATGGCAAAATTTTGGAGAAATCATTTTGTAGAACATTAAGTAAAATGCATCAATTCAGCTAAATTTAACCGACAAGGTCTAATTAAATTTCATGCTTGAATTGTCACCTTAAATTCATAAGAATAGTCATTAGCTAGAATATTTAAATTTCTTTCTTAAAAATTTAAGCCTGATAGAGTCAAGTACCTATTCAATTATTAGAATATTATTTACAAATTTTTAATTTTATTATATTTTGCTATTAAATTTTCAGATGAAAAGTAAAACAGCATCGAGCTAAACATTTATTTAAATTATAAACAAGTACGCGATGTAGTAAGTGAAAATGGACATCAGTTGTTTCGTTTCCCCAATTAATTGTTACTGTTATTGTTAAAAGTTTTGACACATACTAATACATCCGCAATTTGCTTTAATCTTTTTTTTTTCTGCAACATATATATGCCACAAGAGTAAGCAGTCAAACTGATTTGGTACATTATTTTGCCCTTTCATTATTTTTTCTCTTTGTCTTCTCCCTCTTTTCGCTAAAAAGAAGAGAAGAAGAAATGAAAGAGGAGAAGAATTAAAAAAAAAGAAAAGGAAGCCGTCAAAAAGCGTGGAAAAATTAAGAACGACAGACGTGGAATTTGCGAAATACAATTTTATTAAAAGGAAAGTTTATTTAATATAAAAGAATTTGAAGAAAAAATGAAGAAGAGGCATTTAAGCAATTGTCTATCAAAAGAAAAAAAGCTTTTCGAAGCTAATATAAAAAAGTTTAAAGAACTTGAGC